AAAAAAGGGGGGGGGGGGAGGGAGGGGGCCCCCCAAGGGGCCCCCAAAGGGTACTAGTAGAGGTAGAAAGAAGAGGGGGTAATGGGGGCCCCAGGAGCGTTCTAAGGGTTTATAAAGAGTTAATTAATTAGGGTTTAAGGACTTACTTAACTAGGGTTTAGGGTTTAGGGTTTGGGGTTTAGGGTTTAGGGTTTAGGGCTTTTAGGGTTTGGGATTGAGGGGCTAGGGTTTAGGGTTTAGGGTTTAGGGTTTAGGGTTAGTTAATCAGCGTGGCCTGCGTTGTTGTTTTGCTGCTGCTGTATATTGTGTACACGTTGCTGCTGCTGCTGCTGCTTCTGCTGTTGCTGCTGCTGCTGCTGCTGCTGCTGCTGCAGTTGTGTGCATGTTGGTGCTGCTGCTACTGCTGCTGCTGGTGCTGTACTGTGTGTCTGTTGCTGCTGCTTCTGCTGCAGCACTGCGTGCGTATTGTTGTTGGTGTTGCTGCTGCAGCAGCTGCTGCTAGCCTGCATGCACATTGCAGTTGCTGCAGCAGCAGTTGTGTGGTGTGTATGGTGTTGCTGCTGCAGCAGCAGCAAGAGAGCTGCCTTCTATTTGTCGCTGGGGTTTGGGTTTAATAGAGATGGAGACCCTCAACAGTTTTGTTTTTCTTTATGAGTCTATCGGCCTCCTTAATATAGTTATAGCCATGCATATTGCTGTTGGTGAGCTCAGGCTGCTGCTGCTGCTGCTGCTGCTGCTGCTGCTGCTGCTGCTGCTTCTGCTGTTGGTGGAGCTGCTGCTGCTGCTGCTTCTGCTGTTGGTGGGGCTGCTGCTGCTGCTGCTGCTGCTTCTGCTGTTGGTGGGGCTGCTGCTGCTGCTGCTGCTGCTCGGGCTGGTGCTGCTTCTCATCATGCTGCTACTGCTGACGATGATGAGGCTGCGGCAGCTGCTGTTGCTGCTGATGCTCATGCTGCTGCTGTTGCTGCTGCTGTTGCTGCTGCTATTTCAAGCTGGTTCTTTGTTTGTTTGTTAGCCCATTAATTTATTTATTCATTCATTTGTTTATTTATTTGTTTATTTGTTTATTTGTATGTTTATCTTTTTATATTTATCAACTAGCAGCAGCAGCAAAAGCAGCAGCAGCAACAGAAGCAGCAGCAGCAACAGAAACAGCAGCAGCAGCACTACTATAGATTACATATATATATATATATA